AAGGTAAGGACATTTGTAGCCTCTCTTTGTATCCTTGGGCCAAGCAAATAGTCTGGCTTGGAGCCAGCAGCCAGTGGAATGAAGGAATGAATGAAGTCAGGACCCTGTGCTGGTTCCGTCTTCAGACAGTTTGCAGGGTACGATGTCCAGCTTGCTGCTCTGCTCCACCGTTGTGTATCTCAAACCCCCGTGCAGCCCTGATCGCTGCTTCTCCTGCGTGTGCTCAGATCCCGGCCGAGAGCTCATTTCCTTACACTGTCACTGCTCTTTGGGGAAGATTCCCCAATAAGGGGACCCTCAGTGCTGTCCTCCATCACTCAGCCTGAAAGAGCAGGGTGACAGCGGTCAGGGATGGCGAAGATAATGGAAACAAGTGAATCCCTGGGCCCCTGGCTCCTCTGCCCCATGCAGGGCTCAGGGAGGCTGACAGGTAGGGTGGGCGGAGATTGCTCACCCCCGTGCTCCTGGGCTCTCAGGCAGCACACAGCTCAGTTATCAGCTGCCAGCTGGGACCACAGCTCTGTCCCATCCCAGGGTGTCCTCTGCAGCTGCTGCCCTGCTGGGGTCTCACCTGCTCAAGCCACACCTCTGAGTGAGGCTCACCTTAGCAGTTCCCCTTCGGGTCAGGGGTCTTCAGCCTGGCTCAGAGGGATGAATGCTGGCACAGCCAGGGAACTATTCATAGACCCCACTGTTCCCAAACTTTATGTGGGGGCCCAGGGTCTGGCTGCTCTCCCATTTTCTGGCAAATCCACTGCCTCCTTGGAAGCCACCCCATGCTTTTGTTTCTTCTGAGCTCCTGGGGGCGCCTGTCAATCCACTTCTCCCTGGAGACCACTACAAACAAGACTCCTGGAGGCCCACTCTCCTCCCTAACACCTCACAGTCCTGGATACGTTGTCAAAAACCAGAAGATGCACAGATTCCTGGAGGAATGGATGCAGTCAGCTCTAATTTACAAATTATGATGCTCTTAGCATTCAGGTCTTTCTCTAAGCTTCACCCTGTGTTTCCTGCTTTGGGCAGAACCAAAACTTGTCAAGAGCATAGAAGGACACCTTCCCTATTTCCTAGAAGATCTGGAGGCCATAGGGCAGGGCCCTGCGGCCTTTCTCATTTCTTCTGAGAGCCTGACCTGCCTGTCTGCTTAACTTGAAGGGATCCAGTGCTTAGGTGAGCCTCTGGAAACAGTGACCAAATCCACATTTGCTTTGAAGTAAGTTCTTTATTAAGATGTGCTACAATAAGGAAAGGCTGAGATTACACTATAGGCCTAAGAATCTGGCTCATTAAAGCTCAGGAAAGAAATTCTATCCAGAGAAAGGTCTGCTGCCACTAGTGAGGGGCTCACAGCTGCAGGCAGGGTTTTAGATTCCGGCACCTGCTGGCCTGACATTTTATCCCACCACCACGTCTGTTTCTGGGAAAACCCTCTCCCATCATTCTCACCCCCACCTCCACCTGCCCCCGCCGTGCCCCTGGGCCAGAGTAAAGAGCGCTGGGTGCTCTGGGTGCCCAGCTCTGGACCCTGGTTTCCTCCTTCCTTCCTCACTCGGGCTGCAGAGCCCAGGGGCCTCTGTCTGCTCTGTGTTCTCCTGCTTCACATCTCAGCACTCAGAAGCTGGACACCAGAGGAACGGGTGCTTCTCCCCAGTATGAAGGCTGCCACGGCCAGGACCACGACCACAAAGGTCCCAATGGAGATGGCGGCACTGTGGTTGCTCCACTTGGCACTGGCCTCCTCCTCCAGGTGGGCCACGGGCAGATCTGGGAAGAAGAATTGGGAATCAGGATGAGCCCAGCAGGGAAGGAGAAGGAGACAAGTCAGGATGGGGGTGGTCCCAGGGCAGGGTGCTGGCAATCAGGACCATTTGTCTGGTCGGGGGAGGTAAGGGAGAGAGGAGCACCTTTCAGACCCCAAAGGGCAGCTGATTCTCTCTCTGGGAGAGTCCACAGTGTCTTGTCAGCCAACAAGAGCGGGGAAGGGTTCTGAAGAGGAATTCAGAGTGGGGCTTTGTATAACTCAGCTGACTCAAGGCCCCCGAAGGATGGGAGGGGAGCAAGTAGGGGAAATGGGTACAAGAGTCCCAGCAAGAGAGACACT